TGAAATATCGCGATATTTCAGTGTATCAATATTTTCTAACACCCCTACTCTCTAACCACATATGATCAAGACAAGTGTGGAATAGTTTAGTTATTTTCCATTTTCCTGTTAATGTTATACATTATGTGAAATAAAGTATCKGTATTTTGATTTTAGTATCGATTCTAGAACATAAAGTTYTGGCATTGGTAGTATCAATATTTTCGTATCGATCTGCACATCACTAACTAAAGAAGAGATCAGAAAAGACACTTTTGTAAAGCTCTTTATGCAGATTAAACTAATTTGAAGATAGCTGTAGTCTCCCCCACATTTTAAAATTCTGCAGTTATAGAAATCTTCACATTCAATCTTTTTGACACAATCTGTATTTTATATAATAAAAAAAGCAGCTCGACCAAACAGCTCTAGACATCTCAGCAACAAATAATCCTCACTGGTCTCTGCCTGTTTGCTGCGGGATTTATTTGAGCTGGTAATTTCTTCTTTCCTTTAACTTCAGGGCTACAACATCATCCCGGTGCTGAGCTCGGAGATCGTCCCCATCATGGAGCTGCTGGCCTCCATGAAATCCCACAGTGTGCCTGAAGATGTAGATGTAAGGAACAAACACACAGGAGCCAAAAAACACAGACTAAGTTCAGTTTCATATGGAGAAAAATGTTGAAACGTTGTGTTAGCGTGAGGCTTTGGGTCATATCTGAAATCTTAACCCACCACCTGAAAAATACAAAAAGCACAAAAGAGGCCYGTCTGAATCGTGTCGTTGATAGCTTTCAAATGTGCCTTTTAATCAGCACTTTTGTCTTTGTCGTAGACATGTTTTAACACGGACTCGTTTGTTTCCTGCCGAGCAGATAAAAGACACGGTGCTAAATGATGATGACATCGGGGACAGCTGCCACGAGGATTTCCTCCACAAGTAAGCCGTCCGCTTCCACCAAATGGAGACAGATGATGAACAACGGTCATTTAACACCCGTCAGGCTTCCAATGATGAGTGATGGCTCTCCGCTTAGCTGAAGTTAGCTACAGAGGAAGAATGGAGGCTGAATCACAGTTTAATGTGGAGGTTTTCATCTGAAATCAGAAAAAAGCTTGTTACTTCAACTTCCTGTGATGTCAAAGCTTCTGCCTTTAAAACAAATTTGATGTGTATTATTTGAACACTTAAAGGGATATTCTATGGAGGTAAATTTGTGTTTTTATTATTCAAACAAAAAGCATCTTCAATCAAAAAAAATAATTTCAAACAAAAAATTTTTTTTCAACCAAACAAAAA